CGGAAGGACAAAGCAGGATAACGGCTGGTACGCTTCATGGCAAGAGTGCTATGACGCGTTGATCGGCGGACTGCTTAACAAGCTGAAGGACGAGGGTGGGTACGAAGAGCTGTGTCGCAAGGGAGAACAAATACGAGAAAGGTGCGCAGTCCGTTTGACCGCTGCCAGGTTGTCGAACTTAACCGCCTTGGTAGGGCTATACCTGCCCTCCTGAACTCGCTCGTCATTCAACCAGTGCTGCTGCACGGCGATCTGTGGGTAAGTACGCGCGGTTGCTTTCTGTCTGCGACCAGATACCATGATCCCCCTTCCAGAGTGGTAATACGGGCACGGACGAAGATACTGGAGAGCCCGTCATCTTCGATCCCTCATCGTACTTCGGTCACAATGAGGCTGAGTGGGTCTCATATGGGGTGTTGAGAAGTACAAACTCACCTTGACTGCAGCTTAGCCATTGCTCGCATATTTGGTGGCATCCCGAAATCCTTCTTCACTACCTATCATGAATATCTCCCCAAAACTGAGCCTGCCGATCAGTACGAATTACGAGGCGACCTGTATGAGTTGTACCATTATTTGAATCATACAGTTCTATTTGGAGTGAGTCTTAGCTCTCTCGATACATGGAACTGTACTGATGAAGCAGCGGGAAGAGCGGATACGTCGGCAGTTCCAGAGCGAAGATGGATAGGTTATTGCGAGCGTTTCCGGATTAGGCTTTGACTGGAGTATGCCAGAATCATCTTGTGGTTTCTGTAGACATATAGGTAGACAGATAGTTCGAGACATGGTAGAAATTCACGAGCGTCTACGCATAAAGCGGGGAACCAACAATGACAAATAGCTGCCTACCTTCGTCAGCGACGACCACCTCCCGTCGCCGTTCGGACCTCCTCTATTCTCTTCTTCGCAACCTGCGCTGCTGTAGGATCTCAGAGCTGTTGGATTCGCCAGTAACCTCGTTAAATCGTCTGTGTCTACATTGGCAGAATGGCTGCGGTTTCGGGTACGTTCACCTTGTGCCCAGAGTGGGCCCAGAGGTGCTTATGTCTGCGTTCCAGCTGTGGACTTTGACCCTATGCAGTCCTCGTATAATTATGAAGACACCGGCTATGATATGGAAGCGGAAGAAGAAGAGTATGAAGAGATTACGCAGGAGGACTGTTGGCACATTATTTCCAGCTTCTTCGACCAAAAGGGTCTTGTACGGCAGCAACTCGACTCCTTTGACGAGTTCGTGCAAAACACCATGCAAGAGCTCGTAGACGAAAACGCGGATCTCATCTTGGACCAGGCCGACCAGCACACGGGTCACGAAGCAGACGTGACGCGACGATATGAGATCAAGTTCGGCCAGATCTACCTTTCGCGACCGACGGTTACAGAAGCGGACGGCTCTGTTGTGCCAATATTCCCGCAGGAGGCCAGGTTGCGGAACTTGACGTACTCGGCGCCGTTGTATGTTGAAATGAAGAAGAGGACACTAGTAGGGAGAGAGGACCCTGATAGCACCACCGGAGACTTGGTTTGGGAGCAAGAACATGATGAGTCACCTGAGGACACGAGGAAGGTGTGGATAGGAAAGGTGCGTCTACCCGAAGTCCGGTGTTGATCCTTCGTCTGAGTCGCTACCACAGGTCCCCATTATGCTGAGGTCAACATTTTGTATCCTCAACAAGTTGACGCAAGAGGAGCTCTTTGACTTGAATGAATGTCCCTATGACTCTGGAGGATATTTTATCATCAACGGTTCCGAGAAGGTTCTCATCGCTCAGGAGCGCATGGCTACGAATCATGTCTACGTCTTCGCTAAGGCTCAGCCGTCGCCGATCAGTTTTCTCGCTGAGATTCGCAGTGCTGTCGAGAAGGGTGGCAAGACCATCAGTCAGTTCCAAGTGAAGCTGTACCACAGAAACCAAGAACGCTCGGTGAGTAGACTGGTAAAGTGT